AAGACAAAGTATACTAAATCCATCGGTGCCTAACCGCCAAACGATTTTATCCGCAAATCAGAGGATGTTAGACTACGGACAGTTTTGAACCCCGTCACACGCAAGGGGTACTTTAAGGTCAAGACTTGCAATAGAGGTCGAAGAACAAATCGACTTCTTTGAACGGAATCCTAGAACAATCACACGGGCCCGCAGCGCAACGCTTCCTCGTATGCCAATAAAGAGTATAGAAGCTGATAAACACAGGTTGGCTTGCACCCTTACCGTTATCAACAAGTCCAAGGCTTACAAAAAAAACAGACGCCTTGCGTCGTCGACAACTCTGCGAGTAGCTTATCGCGCACTCCGGTGCCAATTTTTTGTGGACAGACGAGGCCTTGTTTACTCGTGTGGGTTTGTACAACCAACATAACGGACATTGGTGGCCATATCACAACCCATGCGTCGTTAGACAAGATCTAGACTACATTTTGAATATAGATATCTGGAAGACTACATTTTAAACATTTATTAAAATACATGTAAAACAGTAGTGGTAAGTTATTCTCTAATTGTTTTTTTTTAAATAAAATTATTGCACACAAATCTTAAGTGATATACTTAAGATTTATGTATTTTTTACTTGTGCCCTTTAATTAAGTGAAGTTTTAGTATTTGGATGTTATGTTAGGTACTTTATTTATCAATGAAATGTAGCGAAGTATGCGATACCGATGGAGAGGTCATTGACATTTGCGTGCCTACCGATTGCATTGTGTCTAGAAATTGCGAGTTCTTGAGACCACTTTGTGATGCGAATTACTCAATATTTTTGTACCATGTGATACTAAACTAAAATGCGGGTTTCTCATAAATTTTACTAATGATTCTAATTTGTCATTTTTTGGTTTAAAATGATATCACAATCAGTAAACACAACATTTTAAAACAATTTAATAAATACCGCATATGGTCAAAAACTGCAATGTAATTACTGCAAGTAATCAAACAGCCGAAGAGCGCGGGAATTCCCCTCCGGCCGCCAACTTGTGTCAGTGTGAATAGACTGTTTGCACAGAATACACATGTAGTTATAACTTTTGTGCGATGCCCACGGGGAATGACCTTAACCGTTGGCAGCTGTAGGATACGTTCCCTACGTGCGATGGCCTGCTGCTAAGCTCGATGTTAAATTAAACGGGTCTTTATACGGAACTTCATTTCGCAGAAAATCGTTTGGCAGATACTCATTTATCATACATTCAAAACGACATAAAATTCATATTCATAATAATTAAAAAAATAGGATATCGCCAAAAGTTCATAGTCAGAATCGTCTTTGAGCATAAATTTCATATCTATAATAATTGAAAGACTATCTATCTATAATTTTGTATTTCTTATCATAATAATCCTGCCAGCCGGCTAGTAAGCCGAAGCCTGTATCACCTTAATATAATACTCTCTAGGTACTTTGTGCAAAAATTCAATCGTCTTTTTTTACAATTAAAAAAGTTATCGATTTTTGATCTGGAACGCGTGTTTTTGAGTAGTTTATTACATCGTTTGTGGCAAAATAATCACCGTAAACCTTTCGGAAAAAAAAAACTGATTGTAAAGTAAGTAAGAACTAGCCTGTTCCGAAAATAAAATACACAAAATTCAAGAAAAAAACTATACGTTCCCATTGGGCGTCAAACTTTTCCTTATTTTTGTAATTTCATGAAAAAATAAGCACAAATACATGCAATTTATTTCAAATCTCTAAGTGCAAAATTTGCAAAGATAGGGATAGACGTGCGTTTTACTTTTTTTTTGTTTTTTTTTTTAATCATTAATTCCTATGTAAAATTGTCTCCTTAACAACTTTTACTCGAAATATTTTTCGGTAAAACTTACACTTATTTAAATAAATTTCGAGATCCAAAAAAATCGCTGATTTTCGAACTATTTTGCAATATAAAAGTATGACGCGTATCTCAGTTTGGACAGTGTTGGGCCAGGCTCCGCAATGCGCGATTGTAGGCCAACATGGCATAGGTGATCACACATTGGTGCATAGCTAATAATGTAAGACTTGAACTTGAAACAACATTTTACAGCAAACTATTCTTTCAAAACATCACTCCAACAAGGCCTTGGTGTCACTTGGCCTAATTGTATCATTTATATAATGAATGATATTATGTAAAAAAAATTGTTGAAAAAATCAATATGGCATATTGTGAATTTAGTGCCCGTCCATCTAAATCATCCTGTGTAATAACTACCTAAACAACAACTTACAACATATTAAGTATTTAAATAGCATTTATAACTTACTAATATTGTTCACTGCCACAAAAACCGCAATGATTATATAACGTAAAATAATTGTGAAATCTACAATTATATTGAACTGAGGTCTGCGCAGGTCTGTGCAGTACCTCGGAGACGATGCACTGCACCGAGCGCAACGTCGGCAACGTCATGTTTATGTTTTGTCCTGTTCACACGCACGCGGCGTAGCGCTACGCGCAGCGTCAATACAATCAATATTTCACCATTTTGATTGTTCGTAATCTTCCCTTTGAATTTACAACCTTACACAATTTCCTTGCTCTGGGATAATTCATTTCAATTCTAAATTAGTATCGAATATGATTTCTTCGGTAGCTATTTAGTACTTTATTCTATTTAAAAAAAATGCCGATTCCTGACTGGCTTTCCGAAAAGGGCTGTATGTAAAGATACTTGCAAGCTCTGCATCAGGCTAACATAACTTTTAATAACAGCATCATGATTAACCAACAGAATTTTGATACCTCATTCCACCAGTAAAAGCCAATTTGTTAGTGTCTATTTTTTGAAATGCCAAAACTAGAGTTTTCGCATTTCAAAAAATAGACGAGATGCAATGTTAATAAATGAAAAAAACATTGAATTGAACTTCCTTGAAAAACTTTCGACTTGCAATTTTTTTTTTCTTGCTTTTCTGAGTAAACTGTCACAAGTACTGAAATGAAACAAAGTTTTAAATGCTACTTTGTTTGTTTTTGTAATTGTTATGTTATGATCTTTTATTTACTTTAAAATTTATATTACTTAAATTACATATTACTTACACATAATTTACGTATTTTTCAATTTATTAGGTTTAATTTTTTTTTGCAATATCTAAATATCACTTAAATTACAATCACTGTGTACTTATTTGGTATGGATTTATCCCTACTAATATTTTAAATGTGAAAGTAACTCTGTTTGTCTATCATGCTTTTATTGCTAAACTGATTTTTAATGAAATTTGGCATGTTGATTCTTGAGGAAGGACATAGGCCACTTTTTATCGCGATTACCGACATAAACGCGGGCGGAGCCGCGGGCAAAGACTAGTCAAATATGTGTACCGCAGCAAATTGTTCTATTATGATCCATATTTCAGAAAATAACAGATTTTACTACCATGCTCTTCTTAATTTACAGATAGATATAATGGCACTATTACTATCTATTTGTTACCAACATAACTAGCAATTCCCTGATTTAAGGTATGTTCCCCAATTGTGTGACTTGTAAGGCTCATACAAAATTAATTAGTGAAGTCAGCGAACCAAAAAATGTAATGGAAAGAGATGATGTAAATTAAGAAGAATGTCTAATAATATAAAAATACATAATATCAAAACCTAAGAACCTACACAGTACATTAAGTTAAGCACCGAAAAAGGTTTTAACTGTTGATATTTGGTGTTTTTACCCCAGGTTCTAGGATAACATCAAATTTTACTAAACATTACAGCTGGTGCAATAAATGCGTTATCATTTATTTATATCCAGTTGTAAGTGGGTTTTAAATAATTTTGGTTCTACATAATGGGACTGTGCTGTTTTACCTATAAGAACTAGTGATGGAAATTATTGCTACTATTAAATCATAATCATATGACATAATGATTGGTTTTAACCACTAGATTTTAACTGTGATAAATCACTACTGAGATTTGGTCATGGACAAAGTTAAGTAGCATCAGAAATAGGCAAAAGAAAAAACAAACTTTTTATCAAAGTTTTTTTTTGTTAGATTTAGACCTTTCGCTGGTCCGGTGCTAGCATAATCATAATCATAAGTAGCAGGGGATTTGAAACTTGGTTACAGATGGGAAAAAATTATTGATAAACCATATGATTTTCAAGAGTGATTGTGATTTTATTACATCCCTAATAAGAACCCAATAATATATTGACAATCCAAGGATGTGGTTCACAAACTAAAATAAACCTAAACTTATGCAATATGACTACCAAAAAAAATTCTGGTATGTCTGGTAAAATCAATACAACAACTAGAAACAATTTTAAAGAAATTTACTTCAAAGTTACAGAAAATAGTTCTATTCTTCTTGCAAAACAACGCTTGAAAAAAGCTTTGGTGTCACTTGTCCAAATTCTATCATTTATGTAATGATATTACGTAAAAAATCTCGTTAAAAAAAATCAATATGATATAATATTATGTGATATATGTGTATCCAAACAAATCTTTGATCTATTATAACCACATAAGCAAGTACCATCGTATTTAGTATTCATAAGTAACTCACCAATTTTGTCAAGTGACACAAAAACCCGAACTAATTATATAATGTTAAATTGTGTAATCTGCAATTTTATTGAACGAAGGTCTGCGCAGGTCTGTGCGGGCCCTCGGACACGGGACACAATATACTGCGCCAAGCGCAACGTCATGTTTATGTTTTGTCTTGTTTACACGCAAGCGGAGTTGCGCACAGCATCGATTTATTTCACCAATTTGACGGTCTTTTGTTCGTAATCATCCCTTTGATTTTTCAACCTTACATAATTTCCTTACGTAACAACCGCGTGGCGAGGATAATACCCGTCTCCCTCGCTCTGATGTGAACCTTCAGCCACATAATTACGTAACCGCTAAGTTAAATTAATAAAAAATGTGAGACAAATGTAAAACATACAAATTTGCCGGTAACATTATATCAACTCATAAATAAATTCAATCTTACCTCTTCAGTTACATTTGCAGTTGGTGACACTTCTTCCCCTACATTTCGATTAGGCCACATATTTTCTATGTGTACCTGAGCGAAAATATCAATCGATGTATAATAATTCCAAAACTAGATTTACAAACGACACCAGTTCGACCGCGGCCACCACTGGCACTCGCACCTATACTGAAGATATCGACTGAACTGAATTGACGATGTTATCAAGTACCAAATACCTACGTACAGAATCAGAAGTCAGAACGAGAACTGGCACAGATACAAAAGCATTCAGCGTACAGTTGAGCAATTCTGTCAAATGTTACAAAAATTGAACACGAGAGGTCACTATTAACAAGAAAGAATTAATATCCATTCTGATCAGTATTTTGCTCGAAATAGGAAACGTTTTCTGTTTTCCATGCTTGAGTTTTACTAACGAATTTTTTTTTACAATTAAGTATTAACAACATAAGCGTTATTATTATAAAGTAAAAATTCTAATTGATATCCTAATAGTAACCAAAAACATTTATGATGCATCTCATCGTGAATACTTTTGAGATTGAAGATTTTCAGACACTATAGTATTGGCACCACAAATTAGGGCTAAATAAAGAAGACAAAGAATTTGTTCTTTCTTACTTTTATAGTCACTAGTTGTGAGTATAGAAAACTTTTAACTCACTATATAACTGACAACTACAATTTGTATATATACCTTTAACAAATAATAATATAATAAGATCGGAACTCTAGAGTTAGCGTACTCTAAAGTAAGTGAACTCTAGAGTACCGATTTATACTAATTGAAATGATTTTTTATAAGATAATAATATGAGATAGATATATCGTATAAAGAACTTCCTTCCCGCTAAAACTAAGGTTACACTTTTGCAGTCATTAATTTTTCTCGTGGTAAAATGAGTTATTTTGACCTAAGTGCAGACTTTTTCACTAAAGTAGATCACCTTCTCAATGACTGCATTGGATTCGTTTTTAATCTTCGGAAGTAAGATTATGTGTCTACTTTACGTTCCTAGTTTCAATGGCCACCAATTCGTCAGCACGGCTGTCTACGAGTACTGAGTTCTCTTTTTTCTTTTATCAACTCTCCATTGTTACTCAAATACCTCGTTTCCCACTTCCGTTTCTTACGTTCGAATCACGAATGCACTACACCTAGAACTTTATTAAGTCTCGCTTCTACGTGCAGTCAGTCCTTCTCTAGAACGCACTCCCTGCCAAATAAAAGATATCCACAAACCGCCTTACATTCAATACAAAAGTACGCAAACTCTTCGGAATGAATTGGCAGTAGCAGAACAGTCACAATGCTAGTACCTGACTGTGTATTTAAAATATAAATTTATGTACGTGTATGTTTATACAGTGTGTATACGCAACACGTGTATACTTCTGGACTTCTATGTAAATATTTTAATGAAAATGAATCAATGTATATTAGTTATATCTAATGTAGGTTTATCTTTTATTTACCAAAGTATTTTGAACGATTACAAATTTGATATTTTATCTTTGCACCTACAGCATCATATTTCTACATCATCCAAAGATAAACTCGGAGAGAAATCTTTGTTGAAATTGTGCATTAAGCTTTAAATAAATAGGTTGCGAGCGCCTTCAGCAAGCTTCTCTTGATTTGTGTCCAAACGCCGACACTAGCCCGGAATGATGACAAGTTCACCGATAGAGATATAAGCATAGAGTGAACAAGAGCCCTTATCTTGCATTTTATGCAACGAGAGAGATGGATAATAGATAGTTTCCTCTATCTCTTTCTATCTCTCTGTGGTTGGCTGGAGAATTTTCTAATCTCGAGACTTTTGTACTATCTAAACCAATACCCACTTCACGATTTTAAATAAATAAACCATACCCCAATCACAGATTAGCTAAACAGAGACAGAGGGAACTATCAGGCATCCATCTCTCTCGTTCCCTGTATAGCTTCCACTTACAGGCAGCTGCACAAGGTGTTCTCTCTATGCTTATATCTCTATGAGCAAACCACGCAAGTCAAGCAAAACATCCCATTCACACTTGTGTTTGTATTTGTAAGTGTAAACGTAGCATAAAACCTTGAAATAAAGTCACCACTAGCAGATTTAGCATATTATCTATGGTTAGGGATGGAACATCGCTTAAAAAAAACATCGAATCAAGAACATATTTTCCAAAGTGGAACATCGGTTTTAAAAACATCGATTTTTATTAACGATACAACGATTTTTATCACTGTTTAAATATATCACATCACACATCACATCAAGAGCCTATACTAGTCCACTGCTGGACATAGGCCTCTCCTTAGAAAATATATAATAAATATTTATATTTAACAAAAATGAAACAAGTATAAAATTAAATATTATATTGATATTTAGAATTGATTTGTAGAATATATTATTATTTTACATGAAACTGACTGCCACTTGTTACGGCCGCCTTTCGGCGGGCGCAAATAAAACAAAAATACTCGATTATAATTGTACTTGCAAAAAAAAATTACAAAAGAAGAAGAAAAAAAAGGAAAAAACCAAATACAATTAATTATAATACAATATTTTTTAAGTCTCAGGGTGTGACTTTACATAAGTTAAAACTTAAACATACATGAAACTGACACAAAGTACACCCAGACTCAGAACAACAATTTGTGGGTCACACAAAGTGTCGTCCCATGTGGGGTTTGAACCCACAACACTCGCCGTAGTAGGGAGCGGCGTGACGACCGCTTAACCACTACGCCATCCATGCAGCCATATATATTTTATAAACTGTGCAACTATATATTTTATTAACAAATTTTAGTAAAAATATGCCTAATAAAAACAACTTGATCGGGTGGAATGTAACTTTGAGTAATATAAATAGATAATATCTTGAAACGGATAAAGAATACAATTCAGTTGTTGTTGTTGTTTAATAACAACAACAACAACTGACTAAGAAATATCTCTTCACTTCTTTACACACAGTAAATAAAACAATAACCTGCTGATAACCTTAATAAAAGTTTATGCTTGTGGTAGTTGTGACTGAGAGAGGTATCGTTCATAAAATATCGCTTATGAAGAACGATGTGTCATCGGTCTTTGGGTTTCAATATCGATGTTAAAACACTGATGTTCATGAATGATCAATCGATGTTTGAATAAAATCGAGGTATCGTTTGCATCCCTATCTACAGCAATCTACAGTCACCACAGCAAATTACGAGTTTGTGGAATTACTTATTCGCATTAAATAAGATTTAAGTTCTGTATTTATTGTTATGTGAAATTATTTTAAATACGTCATCCTGATTTAAAAACTTTTCTGAGAGTGCGTAATGTAATCACTACGCAATACATTTGTACTGCGATAAAAAGACAGTAAATCTGACGCAGTGGTGCCCAAACAGTGTTCATATTCCATTTCCAATTACTTATTTACACAAAAGCAATCCGTGGTAGTCTCGCTCTACAATATATAACAGAAGTGGATTGTTATAACTGCTAGAGGAGTGTTGACCACAGGACTAAATAACACAAGTTTGGGTCGATTCCAGTCGGCAAAGGATCAAATCGTTGCTGTCAGATGGTAAATTCGCCATTGCATTGCGATGTGTAATACTTGAAGATTGAGTTAACCGTAGTAGTGCAACCTCTAAGCGTCAGTATCATGGACGACGATGGGGATGATAAAGATGACACAAAAAGGTACAAATATTAAAAACATTATTACATATACTTTGCCCTATTATAAAATAGTTTCAGTTCCACAAAGGTCTATAAAACTGATAATGATTGGCATTAATAATCAATATTAAGGAGTACATAAGTTAGAATATAGAGGCATAGTTTTTTAAATCCACCATTAGTAGTATAAGTAGCATTAAAGACAAGTACTAGTAGTGCAGAAATTTTCTATTTTATAATATTCCCAACTAATATTTTATATATTGAGGAATGCATTAAAATACAATTTTTATATTATTAGGAGGACTCGTAATCTTAGTGAGAAAAAGAGGAGAGATCAGTTTAACATGCTTGTCAATGAACTTAGTTCTATGGTGTCTACTAACAACAGAAAAATGGACAAATCTACTGTTCTAAAATCAACAATTTCATTCCTGAAAAATCACAATGGTAAGTGTAAATTAAAATAAACCCAAATGATTTATGTACATAATAGTACATACAGTGAAGTGGGAATCTCAAAAAGCAAGTAAGGTATCTTATTTTTTGAGATTTTCACTTGTTTGTTGAGTTGAATTTAAAGCCAATATTCACATGTTTTATTGAAATATCTTGTCAATTTTTTGTTTTACTTTTGCAAAATTAAATATGTGTGAAAATTAATCCTGTTTAAGTGACATATTCCTAATTACAATTCACTATAGCCAAGCCATTGCTAAACTATGATAAAATGCATTAGTACATCAAAATACATAAATTATAAGTAGATACTTATAATGTTATTATTTAATTAGATAATTTAAATGAATATCGTAAATCACTTTCTAATATTTAATATAATTTTTTTTTGAGTTTGTTATGTTGTGAGTATGATTGTAGCATTAGCTAGGCTGTGTGTACAATTGAATATCTGTAATTGAATGCAAGGCAGATGACCATTAAATTACTGATTTTACCAGTACTATTCCTCACATATTATGCCATGATATTCAATGCATAATTTGTATTAAACTAGACAAATGTCCCGTGAGTTATAGTTAACTACAGAGCTGAAGTATATTTATATGTTATTCATGTTTATATAGCATTTAAATGTTAAAGAAAGTTAAATCTTGTTTGTACTTTATTTTAGAAATAACAGTTAGGTCTCGTGCGCATGATGTGCAAGAAGACTGGAAGCCGGCATTTTTGTCGAACGAAGAATTTACTTACCTAGTATTAGAGGCATTGGAGGGCTTTGTGATGGTGTTCTCAGCAACAGGGCAAATATATTATGTGTCAGAAAGTATCACATCACTGCTTGGTCATAATCCTGTGAGTATAATATTATATTGTCATAGTTATGTTTGTGGTAGAAAGAGTGACGGCTGAAGTGGAGGCAAAATATATTTTGCCATATATCTTCTCAGCTTTGATATAGGCAGATGATTAATTTTAAGTTTTAGAAACATTGTTATTACTACATTCCTAACACTAAAAGTGCATAACAAATAAATGTATGTATGTAAGGATTCAAAACTATTTCAGGTAACACACAGTGTTAAGTAGATAAGTCATAGCAGACATTAGATGTACATACTTAGTGTGGAAGTATCTTCTAAAAAGATCCACTTGACAGTGCTATGAGCCAGTATTATATTCCTCTTGGTAAAAGAGGCTGCTAGAGTTCTATGTTAAGTGGAATTGTTTTGGCTACTTGCAAAGTACCATCTTATGATAAACACTTACCTTGAGAAGGCTCAAGAGTTTATTGATTATCCATAAAAATGATAAAGTGTGTAATAGTAAATTATGAGGCATGGTCATATGTTATTATAAATTAAGTTTATTCTTATTGAGAGGCATTGCACTATATATATGTGATGTATATTGCATACTGGAGATACATAAAACTTAATAATATTTGAAATATAGATTTTACTAAAGTTTGTTAAAAAAAGAAGATAAGTGACATGGATCAGTGTCTATAACAAAATACTTGTTTGGTTTTAATTTAAGTTTTTTGTTTTATATTATCCTAATCTATCCCTTCTTAAGTCAGCTGAGGGAGAAGAAATTTTTGGATCAAATCATTTACAAATAAAAAAATTAATTAAATGTAACATTAATAAACTAAATTAATATAAGAATGCAGAAACCGGGTGGGAGTATCCTGTCCCTTGGTAGGCCAATGTCTTGTCATTGTCTATTGAGAGTCTAATGTTTTAGGACATTTCATAAGCATATTCATTTATAAGTATTTCATAACTAAGAGTTATTTTCATTTTCACTAATGTGTCCAATAATTACAGGCTGACATAGTAAACAAAAGCATATTCGATTTGGCATTTGAGGAGGACCGACCAAGCTTGTATAACTTGTTACAGAATCCAAGTAATGCAACGGATCTTTTACAAACAGGAGTCAAAGGTATGTATCAAGAATCACATATATACTTTATTTTTGATGTTTTGCTCTAGCCTAAGTAATAGTTCAACTTTAAACATGTGTGTTTATCTGGAGAACATGAGTCTCACTTGCCCCAATGGCAAATACTATTGAATATCATACCTGTTGACATATATTGTTGTTTATTGTGAAAATACTATAATGGTGTCAGCATCTCAAATAAAAAACATTCTTTTTTTATGATTGGCAATTTAAGTAAGTGGTAGGACTTATTAACTAATTTCCTTCATATTTATATTAAACTATTGCTCGCGGCTTCGCTAACGTTATTATTTTTAATTTCGTGTGTCTAACTTTGAAAATGATGACCTTCCATACAATTGGTCATTTCTTATTTTACCCCGGTAGGGGTGAAATCACCAAAACTCCTTTCTTAGTGGTGTGGGGTGCTTAGGACAAATTTCACGTTTGTAGCCCACGCGCTTTAGGCTCTGCGTTGATGAATCACTTTTCAGAATTTTGCTAATCAAAACATGTATTGTTCTTCTTGTCACAAAATCTCAACTACCTTGTAACCCTTGTAAGAGTATGTGTGTAACAAAGAAACTTAAAATGTTTGCAATTAACAAGCATTATAATACTATTACTAATAAAGGGAAATAGTAAAGCTAATTCTCTAAAAAAAAACCTCTACACTCATCTACAAAACTCTCATGCAAAAACTAAAAACCGATGTTGTGTGCATTTGCTATTATTTTACAGCAAGAGTATAATTGCATTGAAATTACATAGAAAATAATCAATTAGGTATTGAACTTGCTTGCGATTTTCAGTACCATAATATTATCATATCACACATTGATAAGAAGTAATGTTTGATATTATTTTGCATTTATTTAGTATAGAATTGCATATACTTATGTGACAAATTACTTTTCACTTTAGGCTTACAATGACGGCTTTGACGACCTATGAGATAGTAACATTTCAAAGGGCGTCGAAGGCGTCATTGTAAGTTGGTACCAAAGTTATGTAAGTGTTAAAATAACAAGGTTTGTTTAAGGAATGATTTTCCTCTATAATAATTAGTGTATTACAATTTCTGAAAAATGAACAGTGAACAGGCATATGTTATTTATAATACATTTTACAGGATTATATTTGCGAAAATATTGTATTTCACATGCTAATTTCAGAAAAGGTTAGGAATTTGCTGTGCGAGCTTACGAGAGAGAACTTGTTCAGCTAAACCATTGAATTCTTTATTTGCTATAATACTAACCGCTAAGCGAAACAAATGGTTTCTTTAAAATAACAAAATATGTCGATTAATAAATAAAAATAAAGTATGTCGCTTTAAACTAGAAAATTATGAAAGAGTACTAATGTAGAAATGATTGGAATAGACATATTTCTAATCTCTCTTATCTTCTCTAACATATAAATATCTTGTGTCACGGTGTTTGTGGTCGCACTGCTGCGAAACAGATCCACTGATTTTAATGTTTTTTTTGTATATTTGGTATGAGCATAGGTCGTAAAGTATTTTTCACCCTCCTACCAACACCCCATATTTCAAACGCGTTTGATTTCTTTGATAATTAATATGGCAGAACAGCTGTTGCCGGGTCATCTATATAAATATATAATTACTAGCTCTTGTGTGTATGTCGCTTCTCACGGTAAAAATTAGCCTATGTAACTGGCTGTTTACGTAGCTTTCCGTTGGTGAAAGCGTATTTAAAATCGGTTTAGACGTGAAAGCGTAACAAAAAACTAACTCACATTTACATTCATAATATAAGTAAGTATGAATAGAATACTGTAAAACCAATATTCTATTGTACTCTTTACTAATGTACTTTTACTAATGTAAAGAGTAGGTACATGTTGTACCAAGTTCGCAATCAACTTAAAAAAGAAATGGGCTTCTTCCTCGTAAGACTTTGTACAGTTTGCGTGTAAATAAGGGTCACGTGTCTGTTTACTTTAATGTCGAATCTGGAAGCAATTTCGAAAGAGTCCTTGGTTGGCTTCATCTTGTTTTTAAACCCCTCACCGTCGTAGGCATTTAGTTAAAAAGAGTAAGCTCGTGCACAATACACACCTAAGCTGTTTGCCGGACTTGTTCTTTTTATTCTAGAAAGAGTTAGGTCACGTACGTAACGCATTTTAACGTGAAGTGGAACTGTGTGTTAACTATAGAAATCTTAGTGTGTTTATCTACATATAATCCGAATAAATAGCCTTCCCCTTGTTTCTTTTATATACTGTCGATTTGTCTACCCAAAGGTTTGCCTGTAAGAGATTGCTTTTAACAATAAGGCCAACAGCAATAAGGCAATCCAAATATATCATTGTAATTGGTACACAATAAAGCATATTCTGTCTATCTAAATATAGTATTGAAAACGAAATTGAATATTTTACAATGTGCGGACGTTAACAACTTCATTCACATTCTAGTCATTGTATGATAGCCATTTTAATATAATGATAGGGCATGTGCATAAACATTATATACTACAAGGTCATGTGTTGCAATCGAAGTTTTATTGTTATAGAGAACGAAATACGTTTCCAGTGCCATCTTAGACGAGGAATTCTAGACTTCAGAGATGAGACTACTTATGAACTTGTACAGTTCAATGGACATTTCCGTAAGTATATAAATATATATATATATATAAATATATAATATGAGTTCGTTGAGAGGTGACTAAGAATGATGATGGTGCTGTTACTTTTGTTGTAGATTTTTTTATATACATACTATGAAAACCTATCCGTTATGTACCAATTGAAATATAACAATTTATTACATTGTTTTTGCACTAGCCAAAATAAACTTTTACAGAATTTATAAATATTTTTAAAATTAAATGTATTGCCTTGGATGACAATAATATTAGTTAAATCATTTGAAACTTTGCAACTGACCTGATTCTCATTATACCTCCAGCCATAAAGTGGATAGTGGAACTGTTTAGTGGTAAAACGAAGGGTTTCACTAGCCTTTCGTTTATTTGTGCTTATATGCCTCGTTTGGGTTAATCAATAAAAATAGACTTCTAAACTTCAGAAGATTGGGCGTGGCAACGATAGTTTTATTTTGGGACCTAGATTATGAAACTCTTTTGTACCTTTTAATATTGTTGTTATTAAATCATTATTTTTAGTTCGTAGGCCACCTAACAATGTTGCATTTTGTACGTTCTTTGAACAAAACAATACTTACTTTAAGGGCTCTGGTGAAGGAGACATAAGTCGTAAATGCATTCTATCAAAACTGACGCGTGTAAGAATTACTGAAATATTTGAACTATATAAATATTCAGAGCCGTCGTTGACCATATTCAGAGGATAGGTGATTAACTGCGATTTATTATACCAACATAACTCATAAAATTTAAGGAACAAGAAAAAATATTGAACTTTTCTCTATTTTTTATAAAGGTCGTATTTATCGAAAATGTAAGAAAAGTATTTTAAAGTTCCATTATTCTTTTATTTAAATTTTAAGTCTAAAAAAAGTAGAAGCCATAGTTTCAATGCAATAGTATTGTATGGCAATACTTAAAAAAAGTAGAAAAAAAAACAAAAGTTTTAGTTATCTTTTTCTTGCTCCACGGCCTTGGCAATTTTTTTTTAGGTATAGGATTATATAGGCCAGATGGTCTGTTAATTCAAATTTAATTTCAGTCTGTTTTTGTTTATTGCTACGGTTATTTATCGCGGAGATAATAAGTGAAATTGAAAGAAATAGGTTCCTTTTAACTTCAACCATCACGGGCAAAAATTATCGTTACGCAAATCTAAAAAATACATTTTGATGGTTTTGTTTTTTTTCAGATTTTCGTTACGACCAATTTTTACTGAGTAACAGCCGGTCAAAAATAGAGAAATAATTGTTCATTTTGTTTGTTTAATTTATTTTGTTGTGTAATGTAGTGTGCTATCAAAATGAGATTATTATTGGTTTCACAATCAAGGTGTGGAAACTTGACTGTCCTGTGCTGCCCGCATCAACGGCTACCCGCGACCTTCACCAGGTGTCGGAACACCTTGTAGGGATTGCTCGCAGAAACGTGATGCAGCGTCACGTTTCTGCAAGCAATGGTGAATTACAGTAATTCTGGCGGCAAAAGTCGGTGATCTTGGTTCGTCTGCGGACCTCTTCGTTTCCTCATTCATTTCGTCCTTCATCCTCACGCAGGGAAACTCCGAGCATTGCCATGCATTATTCTTTGGGTAACTTTGAGCCTTCTTATGAGGGCTATTGCGAGCGACCACCCTTTCTGTGCCATAAGTCATCACTGGGGACAATTTTATAAAAGATAAACTTTTTTAAAAGTAATAAGCAAAAAAATCTCATTGAAATACTAGTTCCATAAGTAACTACGAAAAAAATTAGTAAATAGTAGCTGTTTTCGTGAATGAAGTCCTTAATATGCTAATAATATATGTACATCTGTGTTAATTCATGAAAAAATTCCTTGTGATGCTTTTTAAACAAATATAACACACAAAGGTACGAGTATATCACATATTTGCTAACATTTAATGTTTCTATGTAGAAGAAGTGCCTAAGCTACTTTACGTTTAAACAATATGCGCTATAAAGTTAGTTTTTAAAAAAAATGGCTACATTAGACTAGGTGGCCAGTGTATAGTTTGGCCTGTTATGGTACAAAAGTCCACACAATAACGGTTCAACTTACACGGTCAATGGAATAAAAAACATTCATATAGCCGAAATTTGACCGCCTGGCGATTTTTAGTACTAAATAAAACTATCTATCCTATTTACTTATATCATACTGCCCTTTTATAAATAAAGTTTGACTTAAATACATGCTTTGCTTTGATTCAGGGGCAAATGTGGAACAAGTAGACATCGACGATAGTATTTCAAGTTACCAACAAGAAGCACGAATCTAAGTAAGTAAACAAAGAGTCAGTGAACCTTGTATACCGATCAAAGTACAACGTAACAAACATAGTGCATAAAATATTTTATTACTGGTCATGAATGTAAAGATCAACAGTCTTTCGGAAAAGTGCTTAATAATAGGCAAAGTATGAGTATTTAGTGAACTCGTTTTTGAGTTTGCTTTCGCCATCTCTAAAAATATGCATGAAAATATTCCTTTAATTTTATTCAAAAAGTCTACGTAAGGTTTTGTTTTAGGTTGCTCTTTGTCTGCACGGCTCGTCTGTACACTCCTCAGCTTATCCGTGACGTCTCATTGGTGGATTCCAGTCGAAGTGAATTTACTTCACGACATAGTCTCGAGTGGAAATTTTATTTCTGGACCATCGTGCGCCTCCTATTATAGGCTATTTACCTTTCGAAGTCTAGGCACGTCAGGATACGATTATTACCACTTTGATGACTTAGAAAAGGTGGTCACCTGTCATGAAGCTTGTAAGTTTATTTAAGTAGCACATATATACACTTATACTTATCTTCAGCAGTAACTCCGAAAAGGGTTGGCAGAGACGTAACAAACGCATACATTGGTCAAATATAATTGTCCGACTAATGAAAATATCGGACAAGGTAAAGGGGCATTGCTCATATGAATGAATCAGGGTCAAAGTCGCCAAGACGACTCAGGCGCCGGATGTCGCAGAATGACCTCCGTCCTCCATAAGTGCAGTCCTGGGGTGGTAGGTAAGGCCATCTGTCACCCTAGCAGAAGCACGAGATGCGCTGCGGAGCCCGCCCGCCCCTTCGGGAGCACAAAGGGGACATAAGGGTTCCCACACAGGGGGGGAGTCATTTACATGCCTTAGATGGCCCGAGGTACGTCGGGGTATCAGGGATTTCCTTCCTAGGGTACACCTGGTTCCACGACAACTGTTACCCGAGACGGCAATGCGGTTTTGGTCAATTCGAGTCCGACATAACCTCTTGTGGGTGGTATCCGAGGGGATTCCGCACAGAAAAAAAAGAGGGTCAAAGTTGCATACTAACTCGAGCTGGCTGTATCCGAGAAGTCCGAGCCCTCTAACCTTCGACTGCACGGATGGCGAGGTTTTTAAGCGGTGACCTCGTCGCTTCCTACTGCGTTGAGCGTTGTGGGTTCGATCCCCACATGGAAAATACTTGTGTGATCCACAAATTGTTGTTTTGTTGTATTCATAGTACGGGAGGTGGCCTTAAAAAATAATATGTATGTAATGCAGTTAGATGTCTTTTTTCACTTTTAATGTTAAAGTTTCCCAACGTTTTCCCTCTTGGAATGATCTTTTACAAAGGTAAAAGAATGTAATTATTTTATTTGATTAACTGAGTCTTTCTTTCATATTTGTTGGAATTGGACTTTGACATAAATGGTTGTTGTTTTTATCTATAGGCAAGGTCTTGAAAATACTAATTAAATCTTATTTGATAACAGTGATGCAAAAGGGTGAATTAACATCGTGTTACTACCGGTTTCTGACGAAAGGACAACATTGGATCTGGCTGCAGACTCGTTCTATATCACCTATCACCAATGGAACTCTAAACCGGGTTTTTGTTGTATCACACATGGGGCGAAGGTACGTGGCATTTTTTAATAATGAAAAACCAAAAAATCCTTCGAAAACAAAAGACCCGGGCATCAAAATTTTTTGTTTTCATTTCAAGGCACACAATGTGAACTTTAAATAATAGCCGTACATCTAAATGGGAAAAACCAGATTTTGTTTGGTTTACCTAAAAACGTGATGAAAAATAAAGGAGGCAGCTCAAAATTAAATGCGTGTCTATTCAGAAAACTGCGTAAATTTTAATAAATTTGTCTAGAGGTTGGAAGCAATATCGTGGATTTGATTTGTGTTTAAAAAGGAAGTCGACCTAGATAATAGTTTTTTGTTGGGATAAGATTTTTTTTAAAATTGCAAAAATTAGCAATATTTTTTTTGAACTCATTCCTTTAAATTTTTTTTTTTTTGTTGTTTTCGATAGTTGTTAATTGTTTTTTTTTAATTTTTGACCAAAAAATTTAGTGGGGTAGTGAAAAAAATAGTAATTTTGTATTTTTTATATAAAATAATAATAAAAAAAACTGGGAGAGTTTAAAACTGTAGATTTATTAAAAAACATATACATATCTAGCTATCTAAACAACGTATTTAAAAGTCTAGGAAGTATCGCCTTCAAGAAAAAAACTTAGATGAAAACCGAGATTTTTAAAATAAGCTACAAACCCGTATATCTACTGAAAACTTTGGTGCTAAGTGGACTTGTATTTTACCTCGATACTGTGGAAAGGGCTCGTGATCTATACAACGAGGAAAAGTTCATATTTTTTATTTCTTAAAGGGGACTGCCACGCGTTTCCGCAGACCCCCAAACCCCCTCTTTCCAAACCCCTTATTAAAATAATTAGAAAATTCAGCATTCTTTTTCTCTTCTGCTGTAAAACCTTGCATTACAGTTAGTGCGTGCGTGTGGTTTAAATATATAGTTTTTCCCGTGGGAAAAATCATGGTTTAAACCCCACCCGCGATTAAATGGTAAATCATCAAAATTTAAATTTGTTAAATTTTGTTCCCCCAAAAAGTTTTTGTATGTTCCGGGCGAAAAAAAAAAAAATCCAAACCCCGTGGTTTTATAATACATATTAAATTTAATCGTATTTCAGCCCCCTTATCCACGTTATTCGGATTTATCATGCTTTTGGGACCCCTAATTTAATCGGTGGCAATTCTTATACCCTTTTTATCAAGTTTGGGGCTCATGTCCATTAAAAGTCTCGGAAATAAATTTAAACGGGCTTCGATCTGAAATTAAAATAAAAACTGCAAAAAACCCCCAAACCTTTTTAAAGTATCTCATTCTTTAAAACTTGGATCAGGGGGGTCGGAGCTTCCTGAGTGCTGGAAAAGAGGTAGCTGGTCCTATTAAGGAAGCCGGGACGACCTGCCATTTGGTCGGGCCCATGGCCCCCCCCTCTGCTGGACGAGGGGGTAAATGTTTGAGAGGGTTTTTTTGCCCGCATCGCCGGCCCCTCTGCGGGGGGGGCCCCGACTGTCGGACGCCCCCAAATTTTGGGTTTTTGGGCGGGGCGTTTGAATCGGCCGTGTTGCCCTGAGGGCCGTGACGGAAGACCGTAGCTTTGGGGGCGTGTGTTGGGGTGTCTTAGACATCCCAACGCATTTTAATAGTCTCCATTCAGCTGCATCAGGGAACACTCCACTATCATGGGGTTCCAAAGACCTGAGGCGGCTATGGCAGATTTTTAGAGGGCGTACCGCGTGTACGGGACCCAGAAAATATTTGGGGGTCGGCCCATGTCGTGCGGTGTTCCACAGGGGTCTGTTCTTGGACCCCTCTTGTGGAACATAGGTGTACGACTGGGCCCTTCGCGCCGATTTTCCCCCCGGCTGGGTGTAATCTGTTACGCAGACGATACCCTGGTGACAGCCCGGGGGGCAAACTTCCAAGAGGCGGCGCGCCTGGCCACAGGGGGAGTCTCCCTGGTGGTCGGGCGCATTGAGGCGCTGGGCTTACGGGTGGCCCTAGATAAGACGGAGGCCCTGTTATTTCATGGGCCCCGTCCGTGGTCCACCCCTGGCGCCTCAATCGTGGTCAACTCGGTCCTCGTACCGGTTCGGGCCCAGATGAAATATCTGGGCCTGATCCTCGACGGGAGGTGGCTCTTCGACGAGCACTTCCGACAGCTTGCTCCAAAGCTGGTCGGCGCTGCGTCTGCCCTAGGGCGACTTTTGCCCAATATGGGTGGACCCAGCGTCGCGACAAGACGGCTGTACACGGGGGTTGTCCGGTCAATGGCACTGTACGGTGCACCGGTGTGTGCGGCGGCTCTGACCGCCCAGAATAGGGTACGCCTCTGGCGCCCTCAGAGGGTAATGGCGGTCAGAGCCATACGCGGTTACCGCACCGTTTCGACGGAGGTGGCATGCGCATTGGCCGGAACTCCCCCGTGGGATTTGGAGGCGGAAAGTGCTTCGCCGAAGTTTATCGGCGAGTGGCTGACTTCCGGGCGGAGAGCGGATTTCGCCCTCCGCCCGAGGATGTGCGCGAGTGGCGCGAAGCCGCTCGCCGAGCCACGATGGCTCGTTGGTCGTTCCGGCTGGAGACTCCACAGCGCTGGCTTTGCCGCCGTGGAGGCTCTCCAGCCGGTCATCGCCGAGTGGGCAGGGCGGCAGCACGGGACCCTTTCCTTCCGGCTGACGCAGGTGCTTTCCGGGCATGGTTGCTTCGGAAAGTACCTGCACACGGTCGCTAGGAGGGAAACTGAGTCCCGCCTGCCACCACTGCGACTGCAGTGAGGACTCGGCCCAGCACACGCTGGCGGTCTGCCCCGCATGGGCGGCGCAGCGCCGGGCCCTCACTGCAGTCATCGGAAGTGGATCTCTCGCTACCGGCCGTAGTACGCTCCATGGCCGGTAGCGACAGTTGTTTTACCGCGGTCGCAACCTTCTGCGAGGTAGTAATCTCGCGGAAGGAGGCGGCGGAGAGGGCCCGGGAGGACGACCTCCACTCGGACCCGATCCGCCGCCGGCGAAACCGGGCGGCGGAGGCCCGCCTACCACAGCCTCATGCCGCCCTGAGTGTGGCCGCGGGTGGACGGGGTGGGTTTCCCCTCCACCCGCATTAGTTGGCCAGCCGCGAGGGGGCGGCGTCCGCGTGTGCCGGACGTCGCCTATAGAGAGGAACAACACTGAGACGGAGCCCGCACCAGGAGCGGGCTGGCGCTAGGAGGGGTCCGGATGTCTTAACAACAGCTGTTCCCGGATCCCTCCTGTTACAGGCGCAGAGTGGCACACCGTGTGGTTTTTAGTCGGTCCGAGTCCGACACACCACCCCGCCGCAAACCCGGAGGGGTGACGGTTCCGAGGGGATTTCCACACGTTAAAAAAAAAAAAAAAAAAAAAGGGGCGTATATGTGGCATATATACTTTCCACTGTGAGATTCCTAAGT